GTCTGTGCAAATGTTGCTTTTATTTTTTTCATTCATAATTTACTTTTCTAAATTAAGTCAAATTGGATCTTGTAGGTTTCATAGAATAATATTGTTATTATTAAGAGTTCTTAATAAAAATGATCACTAGTTTGTTAATTGCATTTAATTTTATCATAATATAATTTTTTTTATATATATATATATATATAAATTATTTGTTGTCGTTCTTTTTGTTGCAGATATAAAAAAATAAAGTTTATTTTTAATTTTTAGGGTTCATCAAATTTATCGGCATATGTTCCTGCGTGCGCATACTCCGCCACTAATCAGTACGGCGTTTACGGTGGACACGCCGGTAACTACGGACACTGGCAGTCTCAGGGCGCGAGCCTCACCCATCCAAACACCGGGACCATGATACAGAGCCCTAACCTGCACACCGCCATATCATTCAAAAACCCGCCCAGAGAAGGTGAGATTGAACCCTCAATTATTTACACGAAAACATGAACGAAATAAAAATAATAAAAAATAAAAATGTTTAGTAGAATATAGTATGTAAGTAGCTTGCAATGAACATGCACAAATTAGACATTTTAACTGAAAAGGAATGTAAAAACGCTGCAGAAAAAAATTGAATGTGTAACGCACATATGCAGTAAAATATATGGTTGAATAATAATACAATATTAAAAATACATGTATTTTACTGTAAAACGTTCAAAATGAATTCTTTACAGAGCAAGTGTATATTGTTAAGAAATCAATAGCCTAAGTTTAGCTTTTTTATAGAGAAAAATAAAAAGTGAAACGAACTTCCTGCATAAACCATCATGTTTGTTTATATTTTATCAAAATGTTCTTCTTTGTCATTCTTATTTTGTGCATTGGAGTGTTTTATTTTGCATTTGATGTTATTTAGCTCATGTTTATTGCATTATTTCCTTGTGTTACTCTGATGTCATTATTTTAGGCCGATTTTAATGAACTTGTATTACATTTGTGGCCTTCCATTGTGCCACAGCTGCCAGTTTGTACCTTAAATGTACCCCAAACAAATACAGTGTAGGTCACAGTGACGTTGTAAGGGAAGTATAGCCTTTATAAACACCTGAATGGCTCATTTACACCTTGTTTGCTACATAAACACTCCCTTCTTTTGGCTCTAGCAGAAAGAAGGTGTCCTCTGAGCAAACAGCAGCACGAGGGTCTGAGCGCCGTTCATGGACTCTCAGACTCATAAGAACACAAAGACCACCAGAGAAAAATAACTTTCACATGTTCATCCTTCATGTGGAGCTTCTAGGAGTCACTCAGCTGTAAGTTCTGGATAAAACACACCTGAATGTTTCACACCATTATGGAAAAGTGGGATCTGAAGCTGTGGAAATACCACAGAGGATTTCTGCAATATTTGCAGTAGATTTTTTTTCTTGTTCTTTGGTGCAAATAAATTTAGCGTCAGGCTGTTGTTATAAATGGGCTGCAATTTGTTGGAATATTTTCTTGTTAGCAAAACAACATTGTTAGAGGGGATATGAAATGAAACTGTCCATGTTATTGCATTTTCTTGTCTGTATGATAATGAATGACCTATTGAGTAATACACATATACACATCTATTTTTATCACTTCAATTTCTGCTTAATAAAGGCATGTCAAAAGTGAACAGTCTTCAATTCAATGGCTGATTTCTGCTCAACAGTCACAGTCTAGATAACATGTTTACAGAGAGATTATGTGGGATTTTGCTGTCGATGTTTGTTCACACGACAGAAGATCTGCCCGGACCATAAAAATAAACAGATAGACGATCCAATCAAACTGTTGCAAGGCCGTTTATGTGACCTTAAATCTAAAAGTTTTATAAACTTTTATCAACATAAACTACGTGCAAAATATTTCCAATAAATTAATTAGTGAAAATAACAATTTATTAAAAGTAACAAATAAGATGTGTTATCGTGAAACGAAGGAAAAAAGAAGTGGGCTATAAAACAACTATCTAGATAAAACAAACTTTGAAAGGAGAACTTGAATTAATACACTTTTATTTGCAATTTTAACCTTATTTGTAATTGATTTTTAATTTATAGGCTACTTAATTTTCCGATAGACAAACTAATTTTTGATGTAGGCTAATTAATTTGGAGTAGGGTATATTTGATATCACCTTTCCACTTATTAGTTGTTCGATTTTACTAAAAATAACTATAATAAAAAGCATATTATAATTATAATAACAATTATAGATTTTTAGGCTATACTTTTAACGGATCAGCGATTTAATTTTTAAAGAGTAGCCTGTTTGGTATTTACGTGTTTGCTAAATCGGCAGGACCTAATTCAGCACTTCAAAACCCCGATATATCTTTTTGTTATTTTGTTAAACTTTCTGAAGCAGGACTAAATGTTACTAACTTTGTGGATGAAGTTATTGGTCACACTGTAAAGAGTGTTGAACTTGAGGAACATCTGGTTTTACTTTTAGGAGAAGGCAAGCCTAAGGGCCGTTCACACCAAGAACGATAGCTATAAAGATAACTATACCTAGTCCACGCCGGCCGATAACGTTTATTACAAACGCGCATGCGCAGATATGTTGTCTGCTGTTTTAAATTCCCGTGCTAATTAAAGCATTACGAATTCTGATTAGCTGTCAATGTTTTTATCACTCATCAGCTGGAAAAAAAACGTCTGAAAGTGATTCCAAGTAGCCTATCATTCCCATGTGTCCATATCATTATAATTGTGGTGTGACTTCGCTGTTCTCATTGATTTAGAACGATTATTAAAGCTAGGCCTACATAGTATCATTAGTATCGCCCTTGGTGTGAATGGCCTTTAGTTCAAGTTGTTCCAAATATATATAGGCTACCGTCTTTCTAAACACACACACAAAACGATATTTTCAAGAATGTGAGTAACCCATCTGATTGGTCACCATTGACTTTCAAAGTATTTTTTCCACAGTATGGAATTCAACGGGGACCAGCAACTGTTTAGTTACCCATATTTTTCAAAATAGCTTCCTTTATGTTCAGCAGAAGGCAGAAACTCATACGGGTTTGGAACTATATGAGGGTGAGTAAACGATGACAGAATTAAAAAATTTTGGGTGAACTCTCCCTTTAATTGCCTGGATTCATAATTAAAAGCATATTTGAACATTTGTTAAAGGGAAGTCTTGGCCAGGTGAGATGTAGAATCACCTTATATTAACCTAATGCTTCCAGAATTATTTTTAGTCTATAAAGCTCATTTTTTAATCAAACCAACAAACACAGACTCAAATACGAAAGAAT